TTGCCGGCAGCGGGGAGAGCACGGCCGGGAGGAGCACCTGGCAGCACGCGGGAGGAGCAGGGCGGGGAAGGAGCACGGCGGGGAGAAGCAGGGCGGGAGGAGCAGGGCGGGGAGGAGCACGGCGGGGAGGGCAGCAGGTGGTGCAAGAGCGCAGCGGGAGGAGCCCGGCGGTGGAGAGAGCTGCAGATCGAGGAGCGTGGCGGGGAGGAGGGGACTGAGCACAGAGGGGAGGAGCGTGGCGGGGAGGAGGCGATGAGCACAGAGGGGAGGACGCGTGGCGGGGAGTGAGGGATGAGCACAGAGGGGACGGAGCGGGTGGGTGAGAAGCGGGGCAGGGAGGAGCAGGTCGGGGAAGAGCACGGGCAGCCGGCGCCCATGTAGGTCAGAGTCTTAGGGCAGAAGGCCTGACGTCAGTGCCACCCTGGAGCCTGTCCCAGCACCTGTGCATACGCAGTTGGGGAGGAGTCAACAGCCCTGGGCATGGAAGTGGAGCTGCACAGAGATCCGAACTCGTGCACAGAAGGTGATTCGCTTTGGGAACAGTGCAGCTGCCAACCTGGTGAGGCCACCAGGAGGACCGAGACGCAGCATGCAGACACAGGGGCCTCCTCAGCAGCGTAGGGACGCCCACAGAACCAGGAGCCCGGGAGAACCAGCATCCTCCCAGCAGGTCTTGTAGGCAACAGCTGCACTTAGAGGTCATATTGCAGGACTCGATCATGCCCAGCTCTTTCGCTGGGGCCAGGAGGGTCTGTGGACTCCATGGGAAGCCAGCCCTGCTCGAATCCTCAGCACCAGGCCCTGGCACCTTGTCTGCCCCTTCCACTGCGGGTGCCCCAGGCAGAAGGCACGGCCACTGGTCTCTACTGGGTGCTTCTACTGACTCCAGGAAGTAGAGCCGGCCTGTTCCCCCTGCCCTGGGGCCCGTGGGGCCTTCATCCTGCTGTGCCTGTGGGCGACCCCCTCATGGCGCTGGATGGAGATACAGAGGCCTGAGGTGCCAGGAACTGGGGGGACAGGTCCAGCCCCGATGCAGCTCTCAGGGCCTTGGTTGGAGACAGCACTCTTCTGCGGCATCCCCATGAGTAAAGATGGTTCCAGTTCCCAGGAGAGCCGGCCAGCCGCCCCGGGATCCCCGCAGGAACAGAGCAGCCCTCGGGCCGCCCTGGGGTCCCTGTGGGAACAGAGCAGCTCGCGCCGTCTGCGGCATGAAGCTCCAACAAGAGCAGCGTGAAGCCCGGGAGCCAACAGGCGGCCTCACACAAAAGCAGCCAGACCTCTTCCGGTGACGGGGGTGTTTAAAAACCATGCTCAGTCAGCACTTTATTTCTGCAAACTCATGAATTTTCTGAAAATCACGTTAATGAAAGGAGCTGTTTTCCCATGGGGAGGCTGATGGCAGAGGTTTTGAGTGTGATTCTGCCAGGCCCCTGCGTGCCTCCTTCCCACAGAGACTGAGTCCCCACTGCCAGCCACAGCAGCCCCCAGGAAAATGCGGGTGCCTCTAATAAAGCTGGTCCCTCAGTAAATGCAACACAGGGGTCACATTTAGACCCCAAGTCCTCGTCCAGGGCCGGCTGCCTGCTTTTGGGCCCCCTGCTCCCCTCCAGGGCCCTACCCTCTTGATCAGAGGTCTCAGCAACTGAGCCGAAATCAGAGACAGGGTTTGCAACCCGACAGTGCCCCAAGGGTGTCTCCACCACCCAAGTGGTGCCCCCAATATTCAGGTTCCGTCTGTCCCTTGAAGACCACAGGTGGCTCCCCCTGGCCTATGCCACAGTCCCTCCCTGCCCTCCAGCCTGGGCAGATACTGAGCACCCCCTCCTCACAGGGGCCTTCCTCATCCCCTACCTCATTGCACTGGTCTTCGAGGGGATCCCCATCTTCCACGTCGAGCTCGCCATCGGCCAGCGACTGCGGAAGGGCAGCGTCGGCGTGTGGACGGCCATCTCCCCGTACCTCAGTGGAGTAGGTAGGCCGCCGTCCTCCCGTGTCCTGACTGCGGCTGCCTGGGACGGGGCAGTGGGGTGGGGGCGGGTCCGTGCCTGTGGTACGCAAGTGGCCAGGCGAAGCTGGCGGGCGGGGTGGCAGGGAGTCCTTGGGTGTGTGTGAGAAGCAGCGGTGACTCGGGGAGAATCAGAAATGGAGACGGTGTGTGCCGGGACATCCTGGAAGGACCTGGAAGCTGGCGTTGCCATTCACGTGTGAGGTGTGAGGGAGGCCTGGCTTTCAGTCGTGCCCCTCAGCATGTGTTATGTTTTGTGTTTTATTCTCACTGCTTCTGGGCAGAGGGAGCTGGGAGGAGCCCCGGGGCCGCCTGACATGGTCCCTGTCTGCAGGGCTGGGCTGTGTCACACTGTCCTTGCTGATCAGCCTGTACTACAATGCCATCGTGGCGTGGGTGCTGTGGTACCTCCTCAACTCCTTCCAGCACCCGCTGCCCTGGAGCTCCTGCCCACCGGACCTCAACAGAACAGGTGAGCTGGGCACTGCCTGCTGTGTGGGTCTGGGCACGGCTGAGAGAGGCATGGGCTGCAGCGTGCCCAGCATCAGGGCAGCTGTGGGTGGTGGATGCTCACTGCAGGGGGAGGGCTGGGGAACCAGTCGCTCTGTGTGCACACACACACGCCTTGGTTTCCCCAGGAGCACACGTGCAGCCCAGTTCTCATGACCTCCACGCTGCCTTCTGCTTTCCTCCCAGGCTTGGACCACCGAGGTCCCCTCATAGCCGTGTGCATGGCATGGTCATGCAATGGCACTGCTGTTGTTAAATTTAAGACTTTAGGCTGGGCGCAGTGGCTCATGCCTGTGGACCCAGCACTTTGGGAGGCTGAGGTGGGCAGATCACTTGAAGTCAGGAGTTCAAGACCAGCCTGACCGATATGGTGAAAGCCCATCTCTACTCAAAATACAAAAATTAGCCAGGCATGGTGGCGGGCACCTGTAATCCCAGCTAGTCAGGAAGCTGAGACAGAACTGCTTGAACCTGGGAAATGGAGGTTGCAGATAGCCAAGATCACTCCACTGCACTCCAGACCGGGTGACAGAACGAGACTCTGCCTCAGAAAAGAAAAAAAAAAACAGACTTCGGGTCCAGACTTCAGCCAGGAGCTCCCTCTGGGGAGATCCTCGAGACATGAATGACAGTTATAGTTTCTTTTATTTTTTTTTCTTTTCTGGGACAGGGTCTCCCTCTATCGCCCAGGCTGGAGTGCAGTGGTGTGATCACAGCTCACTGCAACCTCCAACTCCTGGCTCAAGTGATTCTCCTACCTCCACTTCCCCAGTAGCTAGGACCACAAGCAAGTGCCTCCATACCCAGCTGATTTTATTTATGTTTTGTAGAGACGGGGTCTCAATATGTTGCCCAGGATGGTCTTGAACCCTTGGGCTCAAGTGATCCTCCTGCTTCAGCCTCCCCAAGTGCTAGGATGACAGGCGTGAGTCACTGCACTCAATTGACAGTTGTATCTTTCAATGACTTGCTCAGGAAGCAACTCTGACTTTCTTTCCTTCCTCCCTCTTGCTGACTAAAACTCACGCTGGGCTGGTACTGGATGAGACCAGCCTCGGGGACCAACACTGAGTCTGCACCTGGATGCCCTGGGCCAGAGCTGGGCACTCTGGGGAGGCCAAGAGCCCCGACGGTGACATCAGCCTCCTGGCGCCTCTCTGAGGGTGGGTGGTCCTGCCAGGGTTCCTCCCAGCCACACTCCGGAAGTGGCCTCAGGACAGGCTCTCTGCAGCCCGAGTTCCAGGATGATGGTTTGTGGGTTCCAAATTCCTTCTACCTTGTCCAAGGGTTTCCTTTTGGGGTCACTTAGGCCAGCTCTTCGATTTTCAGGCAGGCCTGGAGGGGTTAAGTCCTCTCTCAATGCACACGGCAGGGCCCTATAATTGCCCGTCCCACATCTGCCCCACGCTCCACTGAAGGAAAGTTTCCCCAGAAAAGGGCCCGGAGGGGTCAGCTCTGCCCACGCCCTTCTCTCAGTCAAGTGTGGGGCAGGCAGTGCCCACTCAGAGCTGGGCTGTGACAGTGCTCGGGTCAATGACTGGCAGGGCCTTAGAAGGGGACTTGGGGCCAAAGGACAGTGTGAAGGGAGGAGCCTTGTGACATGGGCAGTGGCCTGGTTGGGATACCGGTAATCCTCAGACTTTTCCATGAGTGCCCCCCAACATTTCCCCAGTCAAGTGTCCCAGGAATGGGCTGCAGTGGGTCCTGAGAGATGTCATGGGAGCCGGCTGCTGTCAGACACTGTCTCTGGCTCCCTGCATCGGCTTGTGGCCCTGTCAAGGAGGAAGTGGGAGTCACAGGACAATCTGCCTGCCTGGCCATAGCCTCACTTTCTCCCCAGGCACCAGTCAGCCACACACTTGACACACGCAGCCACTGTCTGTCCAGTGCTTCTGTGCCATCCTTGGGGGTCTGGGACGGTGGGTGGCAGGAGAAAGTGAGGGGACCAGCTTTACACCGTGACAGTGATGTCCAAGGGGCTGCAGGCTACCCGGGCTCAGCAGGGCTCATAAACCTTCTCAAAGTGGAGCTTCCCTTTGAGGTTCACTCAGCCTGTTCATTTTCATAGCCACGTCTGTTTCTCCATCTCAGCCCTGGGCCCAGAAAGAAGTGAAAGGGCACCTCAGCCCAAAAGGGCCGTGTTGAGAGCAGCCCAGGGAAATTGAGCTCAAGAGCCACATGGTGAGTGTGCCTATGCCCCATAGCCAGCCTGTGACAGGCTCCCTGGTTGCAGGGTTCGTGGAGGAGTGCCAGGGCAGCAGCGCCGTGAGCTACTTCTGGTATCGGCAGACACTGAACATCGCAGCCGACATCAATGACAGTGGCTCCATCCAGTGGTGGCTGCTTCTCTGCTTGGCAGCCTCCTGGGCAGTCGTGTACATGTGTATCATCAGAGGCATTGAGACTACAGGGAAGGTGAGAGCTGGCAGGGCCTGACCCCCTCTCTTGCTTCCTCCAGCCCCGAGGACCCCTCCCCATCAACCTGTGTTTGCTTTGTGTCTACAAGCTCTTATGAGGGGCATAAACATTTAGGATTGCAATGTCTTCTTAGGGTATTGATCCTGTTATCGCTGTGAAGCAGCCTTTTTTATCCTGGTGATATTCTTGGCTCTGAAATTGACTTTGTTTTAAAACAGCCACTCCAGATTTCTTTGGGCTATGTTAACAGAGTGTACTTTTTTCATCCTTTTTCTTTTAACCTTTTTGTGTCTTTATGTTGAAAGTGTTTTTCTTGTAGACAGCATACAATTGGATCTGGCTTTTTTAACCAATGTGAAAATCTCTGCCTTTTATTTGGGGTGTTTAGAGCATTTACATTTAATGTGATTATTGATATGGTTGGGTTTAGCTCTATCTTCAGATGTATTTCCATTTACCACATCTGTTTTTTATATTCTTGTTCCTCTCTTTCTCTAGGTATTTTTCAGGATCCCGCTCTATCTCCTTGGTTGGTTTAGCTTTAACTCTCTCTTGTTATCCTAGTAACTGCTTTAGAGGTTACAGTCTATGTCTCTAGCCTGTCATGGTCGATCACTAAGTGATCTTGGGGTATTCTATGGTCATTTAAGAATGTCATTGCATTTTATCCCATTTTTCCCTCCCAGGCTTTGCACTATTGTTGTCATACATTTTACTTATAACATGTTATAAACAACAAATGCATTATTGTCAGTTTTGTTTTAAACAAGCAATTATCTTTCAAAGAGGCTTAAATAATGAGAAAAACTGTATGGATGTTCACCCATGTGGTTTCCATTGGGTGCAGCAGAAAGGACCAGTAGAACCTGAGCCTCCTTGCTTGCCTGGGCCCCTCAAGCCAGAAGAGTCCTCATCCTGTATTCTCTGGTGTGTGCTATCATCTCTAGTCTGGTATCACACATGTGTGAATTCTTTTCAAATGATGGCACCCAGTCCACGCACCCTGGACCGTGCCTCCTGACCCACGGACCTCAGACCCAGGACCCCAGTGCCCCATGCCCTGGGCAGTGTCTCAGTGTACTGAGGTTGTCATTCCTCTTATGTGGAGGGTGGGGGTCTTCATGCTTGAGAGGACTGGAATTACTAAATTAGACAAAGCAACCAGCCAGAAATTCCAAATAATCCTATTATAAAGGTCCTTAAAAATGCATCCCAAGCTGGGCACAGTGGCTCACACCTGTAATCCCAGCACTTTGGGAGGCTAAGGTAGGCAGATCACATGAGGTCAGGAGTTCAAGACCAGCCTCGCCAACATAGTGACACCCCATGTCTACTAAAAATAAAAAAAAAATTAGCCAGCGATGGTGTTGGGAGCCTGTAATCCCAGCTACTTTGGAGGCTGAGGCAGAAGAATCGCCTGAACCCAGACAGCACAGGTTGCAGTGAGCCGACACTGGGCCACTGCACTCCAGCCTGGGCAAGAGAGCGAGACTGTCTCAAAAAAAAAAAAAAAAATGCACCCCAGATAATTCTGCAGTCAGTCTGTGTTGGGGGAGCTGAGAAGGGGAGTGAGAGAGGAGTGTCCACTTGTAGATGCTTTTCCATGTGGACACCTCGTGTGCAGACCCTTGTCCACAGCTGATGGGAGCTGGGAAATAGCTCTATGTGGGCAGAAGGGTCACAGGGTAGGTGCAGCCAGGCGAGGGCATCAGGGTGGGAGGAAGAGGACTCCAGCCGCACAGTAGGGCTGAGAGCTTGAGAGTGAACAGGAGGGAGGCTGGAGAGGGGACCAAAGCAGGGAAAGGACACAGTCGGAAACGAGGGTGACCAGGAGAGAGGCAAGTGGCAGCAGGAGGCTTGGGAGAGGGAGGCCAGGGAGGGACCACGGCTCAGACCCCTCTTCAGGGCCCAGCCCCTGTGCTCAAAGGAGGCCTGACTCTCCAGATACCCAGTGCTCGATCGGGCACAAACGTGTAAACGAATGTGCATGTGACTGTTTCTGGTGAGCCCCAAACCCTCCGAGCTTAGCCTGAGCCTGCACCCCACAATCCCCCAAGGTGCCCCCCAATCCATCCTGGTCGATCCCATGCCAGAAGCGGCTACTCTGACCACCAGGGAGGTGTCTGGAGCCTGCCTGCTTCTCTAAGGCTTGTGGACGGACCAGAGGCCATTTCAAGTCTCACCAACTCCACCTTTTGTTTCAAGGTGATTTACTTCACAGCCTTGTTCCCTTACCTGGTCCTGACCATCTTTGTCATCAGAGGGCTGACCCTGCCGGGGGCCACACAAGGACTAATCTACTTGTTCACTCCCAAAGTAAGTGGGTCTTGGATCAAAGTTCAGGGCTTCCAGCACACACATTTCAGGGCGGTGGCCAGCAGCTCCCTTCCTTACCTGGAGGCGTGAGAGGCCAGGAGCCACACATCCAGCAGCTGTGCTGTCTGGTGGTCAGGGGTGAGGTTGGCCCAGGATGGCGCGGGGGGAGGGGGGCCTTAGGAAAGAGGTCAGGTTTGGAGTGATCCTGGGGCTTCGGGAAAGAGGTCAGGTTTGGAGTGAGCCTGGAGGAGGACTTCGATCTGGGGCAGGTGGACTTTGGCACCTGTGGGATACCAAGTGGACATGAATGTGAGGGGCCAGGGGAGGAGGGACAGGGTTCAGGGAGAGGCTGACTGGGGACCGGATGTACCTGCTCTGGGCCTGACACCACCAAGGGCCTTGTCCAGCTGCACACACCCCACCGGGAGCCACAGGAGCTAGTGCCTGCTCAAGGAGTCTGCATGGCTTCTAGAGCATTCTGTACTATCCAAGATCGCGGCACTGCCTGCCCATTGTCCTGAGGCAGCTTCCCGGGGTTGGTGTGGGAATGGGCACCTGGGTATGGGCATGGCTGCCTGGAGTCCTAGCAGAAGCCAGAGGACACCTTCCCAGGTCCCGCTGAAACAGGAAAGCCAGGCTCCGTGCATGGGATCCTTGCCCTCGGGCCTTCAAATCGCCCAGAACTGCCAGGTTAGAGAGGGCACAGTAAACATGCCCACGCAGGAGCTGCTCAAACCCATCTCCAGCCCCGAAAACTCTGCCAGCTACACTCTCAAGCGGGCCTGACAGCCACCGGCTCATTCGGCCACGTCCCGGATGGGGGCCTGGCATCTGCCATGTCCAGAGCTGCCACTCCACACCTGCACACCTGCGTGGTCCTACCCTGTTCCTGGCATCTGTACAGGTCCCACTTGCTCATGAGTGTCCCCAAAGCCGCCTTGGGAATGTTCTGGAACAGTCAGGGCCACCGACTGGTGTGGTTTGCCTGCTGAGTGAGACGCTCTCCCTACTCGTTTCAGATGCACATTCTCCAGAGCCCCCAGGTGTGGCTGGACGCAGCCACCCAGATATTCTTCTCTCTGTCCCTGGCCTTTGGAGGACACATCGCTTTCGCAAGTTACAACTTGCCCAGGTAGGCAGTTGGGCTCAGGTGTCCAGCCCGAGAAGCTTTGGGGAGATGCCCCGAGCACTTCCTGATCTCAGGATCACACTGTGGATCCCAGGGTGGCCTTGTGTGAACCTGAGATAAGAACCTCATGCCACGGCCTGGGCCCTCGCGGCAGCTCCCAGCACGTCCGGAGCCGGCTGCAGGAAGACGGCCTGGATAATCACACCCAGGAACCAGGGTGTAACTGGGCATGACACCAATCAAAATGCACATGACACACGGGGCCGTAAAAGCCTCGATGGTCACCAGAAATAGACTCAAGGCCCCTTGGTGCCAACGTGAGCGGGTGCTGCTTTTATGATGTCATAATATGCACAGAACCCTACAAAGTGCAATTCCACAGATCATAAAATGCATAGCCCAGTGCACTGTGATGAACCTGAAACAAACCTTATTTCCTGTGGCTGCCAGAATTTCTGCCCCCTTCAGAGGCAGGCAGTTTGCAGGAGATGGGAGGGGCAGGCTGGTCCCTGGGCAGTGCTGCCCGCTGGTGGCCTTTAGGGAAGAAGTGCCAGCGGGGATGCCAGGGAAGCTTTAAATGTTTGTGATTGACACCTTACTTCCTTGACCTCACACTGGAGCTGAGCTTGTGTGCGTTTCTCCTTTGGAGATGATTTTCCAAAACGTCTACATTTCAGACCCTCCACGAGTGCCCTGCCTCTCAGCGCCCCGTGGGCCCAAAGGCCTTGGTGGGGGTGTGAATGGGTTTCAGACCCTCAGCAGCCTTGAGCTGGGGCTGCTGGAGGAGACTGTAGGGAGGGGTCCGAGGCCATCCTGAGACTCCAGGACTGGCAGCAGCAGCCCCTGGGTCAGAGAAGGGGCATCCCAGGCGGGAGGGAGGGCCAAGGAGGGAAGCCCCCTCCTCACTTCCTCCCGTGGGTGAGGCCCAGTTACCGTCTGCAAAGTCCGTGACGAGCGTGCATTTGTGCCCAGGAATGACTGCCAGAAGGATGCGGTAGTCATCGCCCTAGTCAACAGCATGACCTCCCTGTACGCGTCCATCGCTGTCTTCTCCGTCCTGGGGTTCAAAGCAACCAATGACCACGAGCACTGCCTGGACAGGTGAGCGCAGGGGCCACGCCAGGCTCTGTGGGGCACGGCCGCCAGGCAGGTGCCTGCCGCACTGAGACTCCCACGGCATGAGGAAGGGTGGCGTGGGCACTTTTCGTTTCTCTAGGGGTGTGGAGTGAATGGTGTCCCCAGAAGGTCACTTCCACCCAAACCTTCAGAATGTGACCTGGTTGGAAAAGGGTCTTTGCAGATGTAATTAAGTAGGATCAGTCTCCCTGGAGTAGGGTAGGCCCTAAATCCAATAACCGGTGTCCTTATAAGAAGAGGAGACAGACACAGAGGAGGCGGCTACGTGAAGACAGAGGCAGAGGTCGCAGCGCTGTGGCCACGGCCCAAGGACACCTGAAGGTGCAGAAGCTGGAAGAGGCGGGAGGAGTCTCCTGTGCAGGCTTGGGAGGGGCCACACGGGGATTTCAGACGCCACAGTTCTCCAGAACGGGAGAGGATGAATTCCTGTGGTTTGAGGCACCGTTGCTGGTCATCTGCTGTGGTCCCAGGTCGCTCATGCAGTTAGGGTGTCCCCTGCACAGGCAGCGGCCTCGTCAGACCCACGGCCTTCTCAGGGCACCTGACTTGCTTGTGAACTACCTTCAGGCGGGTCCTTGAGAACCCACTGGCCAGACAGCATGTCCCTACAACATGGGGTGACTCTGACCCCACCAGGGGACATCTGGCAGCACATGGAGACAGTTTTGGTTGGCCACACTTGTGTGAGGGGTGTGCCTGGCACCCAGTGGGTGGAGGCCGAGGATGCTGCACAGCACCCTACAGTGTCCAGGACGGCCTCACCCAGACAGTGACTGGCCCTGAGTGTACGCGGTGCTGCTGCAACTCCGTGTTCCACCCCAGCCTCCTGTGGTCGGGAGCACGGCAGCACGGCAGCACTGCACCCGACGGTGCTTTTCAACAGGGACGCCACCAAGAAAAGGCACACAGAAGTGGAAAACGTGGCACTTGCAGGCCACGGAAAGGACGGTGATTTATAGGATGAGTCAGGTCAAGAAGGCAGAGCTGGGCTTTGATCAGCCCCAGCCAGGGAGGTGCACGGCGACGACTCTGATTTCTGCTCACTCTTTGAATGTCGCAAATAACCACAAAAGTGCACAAATATTGACTTGGGGTTACAAGCACATCTTAGTGAGCAGCCGGATAAGGACCAGCTGGGTGCACAACAGCCTGCGCCGCACAGCCCAAGCAGCCTTGCATGCCACGTGGGGCTGGAATGAGGGGAGGGAGGCCTCTATCGTCAGGATTGTTCTAGGAACAGCTGGAGCACCAAAAAGGTGTTTGCTGGTATAGACGTGCCCTGCCCTTGGGTGACTGTGTTTGAATCTTAAGCCCTGAGGACAGAATGAGTCTTTGGCAGTGGAGAGAGAAGGGCAGGCGGGTGGGCTGAAGCCCAGGTCCTTGCCTGCAGGGCAGCCCCTCAGGGCGAATCAGGACCCACCCTCGAGGTGAGGAAGCTGCCACCACCTCCACCCCCTTTGCACCCATGGGGGAGTGCTCCCCTTCCAAGCCCAGGGGGGTAGAGAACAACTTCTCCCCCAGCCAGCAGTGTGCATGGAGTAAACTGTGCCCCCACCAGTGCCGCCCTGTCATAGCACAGGCGTCCACATGATCCCAACAGGGGCAGGAGGGGCCCAGCCCTCCCAGGGACACTGTTCTTCCCAGCACCGACCAAGGGTTCCTCCGGATGTGTTTGGGAACTGGGGCCGTCCCCTCTCTCCCTGCAGAAACATCCTCAGCCTCATCAATGAGTTTGACTTCCCAGAGCAGAGCATCTCCAGGGACGACTACCTGGCGGTCCTCATGCACCTGAACGCCACCTGGCCCAAGAGGGTGGCCCAGCTCCCCCTAAAGGTCTGCCGCCTGGAAGACTTTCTGGATAAGGTACCTGCACACCCACTGGGGTAGCCAGGCGGGGCCGTCCACAGGAACACCAGGGCCGTACTGGCTGTGCCCCACTGCCAAAGGCTGCAGACAATTCCCACAGACCCAGGGCCAGGGCCTGTGAACCGAGGACCCCAGTCTGTCTTTGTCTCGGGTTGCCAGGCCTCCTGGAAAGCCCGAAGCCCCGGAAGCAGCTGTGTCCTGCAGACACTATACCCAGCAGTCCTGGGGGTTGGGCTGACCCGAAAGAGTGGGCACTGCTGGTGTCCAGACCCCAGGAAAGGGGGTGACCAGCATGAGGGTCACAGTGCCAGGGCATGGCTGGAGTCCAGCCACACTCAAGGCCAGTGGATGCCTGGACCTGGGGGCACCAGGCAGGGGTGCACAGCCAGGAGGCAGGTGTGGGATGCATCTCAGGGTGCCTGACCCAAGACATAAAAGGCCCTGGGTTCAGGCCCAGCTGCCTGCTGTGGGTGTGGGTTATTAAAGGGGAAGGACCCTCCCCTGCAGAGATCACCTGGTCTCCCGGAAGGCAGGGCCAGCCCTGAGCCACCTCAGCCCCACACGAGGAGGGGCGATGTGCACTTGCTGCCCTCAGCCTGGGAAGAGGTGTGCGTCCTGCAGGCAGGCGTGTGTGGTGTGTGGGAGTGCGTGTGGTGTGTGGTGGGACGTGCGTGTGGTGCGTTGGTCCGAACTGGGGCTCCGTGTGTTCAGAGTGCCTCGGGCCCGGGCCCTGGCCTTCATCCGTCTTCAACGAGGCCGTCCTCCACTGCCGCGGGGGGCTCCTGCGTGGGCTGGTCTCTCCTTTCTCGGGATGTCGTTACACCTTGGGGCTAGTCGACCCATTCGTTCGGGAGTGGAGAGGCGGTCATCACACCCATGGCGGACGTGGGGGTCCTGCCCAGAATGGGTCCCCAAGAGGCCCCTCGACTGTGGATGCAAGCCTCGGCGGCCTGGAGGACCTCTCAGCATCCGGCCATCCACCTCCCACCTGCGTGCCCAGATGCCCCTCCTGGATGGAGAGCACAAGGGGCCAAGCCTGAGTTCAGGAGAAGTCTGAGCCAGGCTGCTCCTCCCTGACACGCCATCACGGGAGAGCCGAGGGTCGAGGGAAGTTCGGGGCTGCCCCTCCCCCGATGGCCCCAGAGGCCAAATCCTCCCATCCAGGCAGGAAAGCAGGTCCCTTCCTGCTCCTCGAGCACACAGTACAGGAAAGAGCTGGGGAGGCCAGGGATGGAGGGTGGGAAGCTGAGAGAAGTCCTCCAGCCCGGGTGCCCTGGCCCTCCGCTGTCTGTCCCAGGGCAGTTCTGCCTGACCTGCTTCCTCCTGACCTCCCCACACTTCCGCCCATCCCTTACCACACCACACCTGTCCCGCGCCAGGGCGGCTCCTGCCTGCTTCCTCTTCGCCACCTGCTTCCCGCTGCAGTCTGGGAACTACTGGCTGGATTTTCGACAATGTGCCGTTCCCTGACACCTGCTCATCTTGGCCTTCCTCGAGGTTGTGGGTGTCGCTTATGTTTACGGAATGAAACGGTGAGCTGCTGCCTCCACGAGGTGCTCCTCTGGGACCCACCAGGGTGGGAAGGGGAATGGGTGCCGGGCACAGGCACAACCCGCAACTGCCCAGACCGCCGAGAACGTTCTGCCCTGGGGAGCTGCCGAGGCACCAGAGGGTGCAGGTTGGACGCCAGTTAGGGTCTGGTCCTCGGCTTGGAGTGTGTGGACCTTCCACGGGCCATGTGGAGCCTGAGCCCAGCATCTGGTGCAGGTTCTGCGATGACATTGCATGGATGACCGGGAGGCGGCCCAGCCCCTACTGGCGGCTGACCTGGAGGGTGGTCAGTCCCCTGCTGCTGCTGACCATCTTCGTGGCTTACATCACCCTCCTGTCCCAGAAGCCACTGAGCTACAGGGCCTGGAACCCCAAATACGTAGGTCCTTCCGGCGGGAACCTGGGGAGTCCTGGGACCCCTCGGGCTCGGTCTGGCCTCCATGGTGCCATCCAGTGCCCAATGACCCATGCGGTGCACATTCACGTCCCAGTGACAAGGTGGCACGGTCACTTCTGCCTGGCAAACTGAGAAGCCGGGGATGTGAACAGGATGGGCTTTTTGCAGTCCCTGAGTGCCCGCTGGGATCAGAAATGGGATCAGGGTGACTATGGGCAAGCGCCTGGTCAGTGGAGTGAGGACCTGAGCAGTGCCCAGAGCCCAGGGACCCCACAAGGCCCTGGAGCTCCTTCTTGGGGATGTGGCTTCACCCTCCCTGCCTGTGTCCTGCCCATGTGGCGTGGGGTCGGGCAGCTGGACAACTGCCCATTCCTCGTCTGTGACGAGAGAGGTCCTGCGTGGACCCCTACTGCCACCCAGTGGGTCAGTTTGGCTGAGGCCATTTCCACACAAGAGCCTCCTGAGGAGGGATCAGAGTGCCAGCCACACTCTGAAAATGCCTCAGGGGCTCTGAGCAGTGCCAGCCCCTGACATACCCTGAGTTCCCACTGGTGGCCACTCAAAACCTCTCCATGCCACCCCTTCTCGGGAATGTGGACGCCACTCCTCTCCGAACGTGTCTCAGAAAGTCCCTCCCTAGCAGAACACCAAGGGCAGGTGAAGGAGGAGTGACCATGTATTTTTGAAGAATTTCCATGGTACCTGCAGCCAGGTGGGTGGTGCCACCAGTGTATAGGAGAGAAAACTGGGGACATGGCCTCCAACGATGCCCAGTGGGTTGAGGCCATGTAGCCCCTCTGGTTCCAGAACATGATACCTAGGCTTACCTTGGGGAGTCCCCAGCCCCAAGAGAAGCTCAGCCCAGGTTCCCAAACTCCTGGCCCAGGGGAACCGTGGTGAGTGGCCACAAGTCCTGGCCACTGCTCTGGCCGCACCTTTTCCATTCCCATCCAAGTCCGGGTGGGCAGGTGGCTCTTGCCCCTTGGATTGAGGAGCGAGGGGTCAGCCTCACGGCCCAGGGTGGCCGGCGTCACCTAACGAGGCTGTGGTCCCGCAGGAGCTGTTCCCCGCGCGCCAGGAGAAGCTCTACCCAGGCTGGGTGCTCGCCGCCTGCGTGCTGCTGTCCTTGCTGCCCTTGCTGTGGGTCCCGGGGGTCGCGCTCGCTCAGCTGCTCACCCGGCGGAGAATGTGGAGGGACAGGGACGCGCGCCCGGACACCAACACGAGCTGAAGTTGCCAGGAGTGGGACAGGGCCGGGGCCTGCATGGGCAGGTCTGGTGGTGGGCGGGGCCCCGCCCACAGGGCCCACCCCAATACACCAGCGACGCCGCCCAATACACCTTGATACTGCTGTGTCCGCGTGGTTACTGCTTTCCCGACGCCCGGGCAGGGCTGCAGACCTAGCCCCCAGCGCTGCTGCTTGGGGCCCACCCCGAGGAAGGTCTTGCAGGGCCCCAGCATCCCTGGTGAGCCCGCGGCCTGGGCGTCCTGCAGCAGTTGGGGGCCCTGCACTTGGCTGGGCTGGCTCAGGGATCTTCGCAGGTGCGGGGCTCCCAGTCTCACAGCCTCTGAACCTAGCCTGACTGGTCTCTGCGGAGCAGTGGCCGCCCGGGTGGCTCAGGAGGCCGCCTGCACCCCGGCTCCAGGTCCTGGGAGGACTGTCCCCCTACAGCTTGCAGGCGGCAGGGTACCCAGAACAGATGTTCCCTCCAGCCTGGAAGTGGGGGTCTGGGGTCTGGAGTCTGCGGTCTAGTTGACTCTTCCTAACATTTCTGAGAAACACTGTAGGTTGCCACTTTTATTTTTCCAAACTGTTGAATTGTATTAAGGAGGTACCAAAAGGCTACTGCTGTCCCGGGGCAGAGGGGCGACAGGCAGGAGCTCGAACACGTGGGGCAGTCACCTGTGCCGCAGGCGCCAAGCGCACTGTGCAGCCCCCGTCCAGCCCGCCCTGCTCCGGAGTACCCCGGCTCCACGCGCTATGGGCCTGCTTCCCTCTTTCCTCTCCCTCTGTTCCCTCCTCCCTCCTGCCCCCTTTCCTCCCCATCCTTTTTCCTCCCCTCCTTCCCCCGCAAAAGCACCACGGAGCCAGGGATCAGGTCTCTGACTCGCCATGGAGGCCCCTCAGGTCCTGGCTTCCTGCCGCCTGGAGAGGCCCTGTGAAGACCCAAGGCACCTGCTCCCACTTTTGAAAAGAGCTCCTGGCCAGGCAGCACTGTCCGTGGTGCTGAAAAATCCCGGCAACAAGGCGCGGCCGTGGTTCCCAGCGTCCATTACACGCATTCTTGTCGGGAACCCGTCCTTGCCCATGGCCAGCCCAGGTCCAGAGTAAACAAAAGCACGTGCACCGCTACCCACCTGCAGATAAACTGAGTGCTAAACATGCAATTAACGCCAGTGCACCCCACCTAAGCATGTCCTGAGCCCATGTCAGGGGAAGCTGCCCACCTAAGCGTGTCCTGAGCCCACGGCAGGGGGAGCTGCACTGCGTCCCTCTGTCCTGCAGTTGTGATGCTCCCCACACCCGTGGTGAGGCCGGGGTACGTGAGGACGAACATGTCACAAAGGGAGTCAGTCCGCTGTGAGATGGGGCTACTGCAGAGGACAGTCTGACATCCCCCCGTCCAACCTCACAATCTTGCCGCAACTCCATGCCTTGGGTCTACCAGTCAGCCTTTTCCGTTGTAACTGACATAAACAAACTCAAACCGAATGTCCTTCACCAGCTCTCAGAACTGGCCAAGTCCAGGGTAGGCTTCAGGCCCTACTGGACCCAGGAGTTCACAGGATCCACGGGACTCTCTGTCTGCACTGTTCAGCTTTTTTAAGTAGGGCGTCTCCGTGACCATTCCAAAATCCTTTTGTTCATGATCTGGGTGAGATGCTCCCCCTTCGGAGTCTAGACATCAAATTGCAGGGAAGAGTGATCGCAGAGCCTGGAGGGTGGGGTGGAGAGGGGGTGGTTCCCCAAAGGAAAGCCCCCAGAAGCCAAAGCAACAGCTGTGTTCCATGGTGTCAACTCACACATGCAGAAGGTGGAGTAACCTGCTCAGAAGCCAACACTGCCAAGGGGCATGTGTCCCCAAAGGCAGCTTTTGGGACACCTTCCCCCACTCACCATAGAGCCTGCAAGTCCTTCATTGACCCGGATAAGAAAAACAGGCAGCTGTTGGCAGCAGGGTGCTGAGAAGCCACTCAGACTTACCCGAGCTCACATTTTCATCAATACCATACTTAGAAAATAACTAGGATGTGAGCAGGTGCTCCCTGCTCCCATCCTGGATCAGACTTTTGGGTGTAGCACATCCTAACGAGGGCTGGGGCTCTGCCCAGCACTCTGTATAGGGGGAGCTGGAAGCAGCAGCATCCCCTGCCGTGGGCTCAGGGCACACTTAGGTGGGCAGCTCCCCCCGACGTGGGCTCAGGACATGCTTGGGTGGGCAGCTCCCCCCCCGCCCCACCTTGTGGACTCAGGACACTCTTAGGTGGGTAGTTCCCTCCTGCCCTGCCCACCCCATGGGCTCAGGACATGCTTAGGTGAGTAGGTCCCCCTGCTGTGGGCTCAGGACGTGCTTGGGTGGGCAGCTCCCCCCGCCCCATGGGTGGGTTCAGGACACGCTTAGGTGGGTAGTTCCCTCCTGCCCTGCCCCACCCCATGGGCTCAGGACATGCTTAGGTGGGTAGGTTCCCCCGCTGTGGGCTCAGGACATGCTTAGGTGGGTAGGTCCCCCTGCTGTGGGCTCAGGACGTGCTTGGGTGGGCAGCTCCCCCCGCCCCATGGGTGGGTTCAGGACACGCTTAGGTGGGCAGGTCCCTCAGCTGTGGGGTTGGGACATGCTTAGGTGGGCAGCCAGAAAATGCCACTCCACCCATGTTCCTGATGCAGCCATGGATAAAAATGGGTAGAAAGGACGAGGGACAGAGGTGGCCCAATAGGTGATGATGGGTGGACAGATGGATGCCCCAAAGGGTGCCAGAGGTGCGTCTGTCCCATCACATTGCCAGGGTTGTTCAGGGCCAGGGGTTGAGGCCTCATGGGCTGCGGAGGTACCCGAGCACCATCCAGGGAGCGGGCACAAGGGCCAGGTGGTGAGAGTAGAACTGGACGGGCTGACCCTGCGTGGCCATGCCCCACATTCAGCTCCTTCAACTTGTTCCCCACCCTTTTGGGAAAAACATTCCAGGGGCGGGTCTCTCAGACTGGCTAGTGTCGGGACAGGAACAAAATGCTCGTATCACCTGACTGGAAGTGGTTGGAATACAGGATCTGTAGCTCCACAGGGGCTGTCCCCTTCCAGGGGCAGGCATGTTGAACTGGAAATAAAGCCAGCTGCAGATGAGGCTAGCCGACCCCAGAGATAGACACAGCTCCCATGACTGTGGTGGTCACATGAGGACAGGCTGTCCCGTGAGCTGGTTCCTGGCAGAGGGTGAACCCAGGGCTGCTTTGCCAGGCACGGAGAAGTCAGGGAGCACCTGACGGGAAAACAAGATTCAGGGTCCAGTTTTCAAAAGCCTGATGGGGCTCATCCGCAGGGTAGAGTCTGAGGTCACTAAGAACCAGGGGAGGATGCGTGAAGGACTAACGGCAGAAGGAGAAGTGAGGCGGGAGGTCATGGAGGGTGCAGCCAGCACTGGAGCTGCCCCAGGACTCACCCACCCAGCTCCAAGGGAAGCAGCCCCTTCCATCAGGGGTGGGGCTGGGACCTGACAGAGAGGACCCCACTGCCATGGCCAGGGAGCATGAGTCTCCCGTCCACACAGGGGCTGGGGACACACAACTCCAGGTGGCGAGCCCAGGGCTTTGTGCCGTGTCAGAGAGGAGAAAGCCAGCCAGTCCCCCTCCTGCAAGACTCGGTTCTTTCATGCCTGCATGAGGCTGAGGTGAGGCCCAGGCCTGTCGTGATGCTCGCTCTCCGGGGCCGCAGAAATGGGACCATGGAACCTTTGCCTCCGGATGGCACCTTGGAGACCTGTCCAACCCTCCTGCAGGCCACAGTGGAATGCCCAGCACCAGGCTCCACAAACCTGGGGGACCTGCACTCGCCAGGGGCCGTGGTCAAAGCTGGATCCAGGGTGAAGAGGCTCCATCCCTGCCCGTCAGTGCGAGGACCCGCCAGCAGCCTTGGCCATTGGAGCTGGACGGGCACAAGAGCTCTGCTGTCCCAGCATGCACATTTCATCATGACTCCAGGTGACCAGTACGCAGGGAGGCTAGAAGCCCCACTCTCTTTCTCTCTCCCGCTCGGCAGCAAGGCCACCTGAGCTGTCCCACACGATCCCCAGGGGTGGGCCGGGAGTCTCATTCTGAGACAGTCCCTGTGTTCATTTCCCTGCACTGGTATTCCACGTGCTGCTGTAACACATCACTGCAGCTTAGTGGCTTCACACAAACAAATTATCTTACAGCTCTGGAGGCCAGAAAGCTGAAATGGGTCCTGCTGGCCTGAAATCGAGGCGTGGGCAGGGCTGCGTGCCCTCAGGATGGGGGAGGATTGCTTGCTTTTCCAGCATGGAGCAGCTGCCCCCATTCCTTAGCTGGGGGCCCCTTCCTCCATCTCAAAGCCAGCAGTGGTCAGTGGTCTTTCTCACGTCCCCTCTCTGACTCTTCCCTACCTCCCTCTCTCACTTCTAGGGACCCTTGTGGTCACATCAGGCACACCAGATAATCCAGGATGACCTTAAGATTGGCTGACTGGCAGCCGTGACTCCACCTGCAGCCTCCACCAGCCTCTGCCATGCAGGTGACACATGCACAGGTCCCAGGAGAAGGACGTGGGCAGCTTTGGGGAGGGACTGTAATTCTGCCTACCACAAACACCTGGGGCCTCTGACACCCACCAAGGATTGGCAAGCCCCCTTCCCAGGTGAGCACCTGGCACTAATCCACATCGAGGGTTACAGCAGGTGCAGGACCGGCAGGAGCGTGGCGCTGATGCAGGAAAATAACCACTCCCTTTCAGGGGTCCTGGCTGGCATCACCCACAGCCTCCATCCTTGCCTGCTTCTCTTCCCTTTCTGCTTGGAACTCACTTGCTCCATACATGCTTGTCTGTGGACGGAAGCTGCTTGAGATGAAGTTCAGGCCTAAGGAAGTCCAAAGAGCTGGGGTTTTCCTTTCCTTTTAAAACTTCATTATTTTCATTTTGCCTTGAGGTTTGACAGTCTACCCAGCACCTCGAAGGCCTTCTTCTCCTTTTCTTCCTCCTCCTCCTCCTCTCCTTCTTCCTTTTCTCCTTCTTCCTTCTCTCCTTCTTCCTTCTTTTTCTTCCTCTTCTTCTCCTTCATCTTTTTTTTTGAGACAGGGTCTCACTCTGTTGCCCAGGCTGGAGTGCAATGGTACAATCACAGCTCACTGCAGCCACGACCTTCCAGGCTCGAGCGATCCTCCCACTCGGCCTCCCGAGCAGCGGGGACTACAGATGCTGGACACCACACCTGGCTAACTTTTTGTATTTGTTGTAGAGATGGGGTCTCTCTATGTTATCCATGCTGGTCTCAAACTCCTGGCCTCAGACAATCCTGCCTCGGCTTCCCAAACTACTGGGATGACAAGTGTGAGCCACCATGCCTGACCTTACATAGTGGTTTTTAAAAGTGCCAGGCAGGGGCAGTGGCTCACACCTGTAATCCCAGCACTTTGGGAAGCTGAGGCGGGAGGATCACTTGAGCCTGGGGGTGTGTGGCTACAGCGAGCCATGATTGTGCCACTGCACTACAACCTGGGTGACAAAGTAGACTCCATCTCTAATAATAATAATTAATAAGTAAAAAGAGACAAACCAAAAAGTAGGTGCTTAGTGAGTTAAGCCATATCAAAGCAAATACCTTTTTCAAGGGTCTAATACTTCAGCAAAAAATGTAAGTAATTCTGAGTAAAATTTCAACAAAAAGCACCTGGAGAAACAGGATTCTGGAGCTTTGTAGAAAATGGATAACTGAACAATGGCCTGACCTGTTGGTCTGTGATTCAAACCCAGGTATGCCTGAGCAGCGGCCTCTGCTCCCAGGAGTCCCCACCCTGTTCTGTCCAACCTCCCACTGAGGTCGTCTGCCCATGGCACCCGGGGCCACTCCCTTCCGGTTTGCAGGGCAAAGGCGCCCCCAGGCTGCCAAGGGCCCCTCCTTGTCACAGTTCCTATACGGGGGCTCCATGCATCAGTGTGCATTTATGACACGGTCTGTGGACTTGGGCCCACCATAAACACATTAGGCTCGGTCACTCGGACACTCGCTGAAGCAGCAGCAATAAATGAGGCCATACCCAGCAGCCATAAGCCCCCACCTCGGCACCAGGCACGTCTGGGCTGCACTCACACCAGAAGCCCTGTCCAAGGCACACTCAGCAGGACCTGGCCGTACCATAAGGCCCCACCAGGGATCTGCTGGAAGGCTCCGGAGTCGCTCACGCCGGGCCCTCGGTGTCATGTGGCCCAAGCCAACTTCCGAGGAGGGGCTGTTTCTTCACCCCAAGATTGTGTCCCTCTGAGCTGCCCCTCCCGTTCTCTGCAATCCTTCCAGTTCCTTCTGTCTGCTGAAGGACGTGTGTCCAGCTCCACTGCGTGCCTGGCGCCCGCCCTGGGAGATAAGTCTGGATGAGACTGGGAGATAAGAGGATGAGAGACGAGATTGGGAGATAAGATAAGAGGATGGGCCACCATCACCAGCCCCACCTTGAAGACTCCTGTGTCCACACCCTCCACTGCCCCACCCTACCCACCCTTCAGAGATCAGAATCGCCTGGTCCACTCTGAAGAGAACAGCCAGAGGGGGAACGTGACTTTCAACCTGAGTTGGGGGGCTCAGGAGGAGGAATCCTGGATTTTATACAGGATGGTGTCATGCTCCTGCCCCCCACTTCCATGAATGCTGATGGCCCAGAGGATGTGCACCAGGGAAGCACGTCCAGATCCACAGCTGCAGGTGGGAGGCAGGGGAGGAGGGGGCCCAGCCAGGTTTCCCCATCATCCCCGCCACCCAAGCTGGGTCCCTATCATCCCCGCCACCCCAACTGGGCCCTCCGTTATCCCCTCCGCCCAAGCCAGGCCCCCCATCATCGCCACCCAAGCTGGGTCCCCATCATCCCTGCTGTCCTTCGGGCCTGGACTTACTGTTCCCTCTTCCAGGGTGGGGGCTCCCACCATCTACCCCCGACCCTCCTTCCCCTCCTGCCTCACAGCATCAGAAACCTCCCAGGCCCAGCCAGGCCACGGGCCTGCACTGACCACCATGCCATTCACTCATACGCTTCCATAATCGCATACAGTGGAGTCTATGCAGTGCACATTAGGATTCAAACATGAGGCTTTTTTTCAAAACTGAAAAACGCGTACATTGAGTATTTTACTCCCACAGCCCCCCAGTGTGGCCCACGGGGACCCCCATCCAGGTGCAGAGTTCTTGCCTGTGAACAGGGCACACCTTTGGTCACTCCAAATTCCCAGAGCTCCCAGGCTCCTTCTCAGGGTCTCCACCGGCCTGGTGGGGGGCGGAGGGCAAAGGAGGTCAGGGTGAGGGGTGGAGAACGGCAAGTGGGGGAAGGACTAACCCCGTGTGGGGAGTGGAAGCCAGGCTCCTGGCGAGGAGGAGCTGGCCCTGGGGTGGAGCCGAGTGCCAGCCTGCGGGGAAGTGAGGACGGCAGGTGTGCTGGACACTCAGCCTTCAGCCGGACACTTAGCCTTCAGCCGGACATGCAGGCCTCGGCCAGACACTCACTCAGGCCTCAGACTCCCAGCGGTGCGGGCCTGGGTGTGGGCCGCCCCTCCCTCCCTGGGACGTAGAGCCCAGCGTGACATGGCTGCTGGTGTCCACTCTCGGCCCAGCTGTGGGCGGGTGGCCATCAGTCCAGGATGGTCTTGAAGTCTGAGGGCAGTGCCGGGTTGGCTGCGGCCTCCAGGGCAGCCAGCGTTGTCCCCGGGAGCTTCCGACTCAGCTGCGTCTGGGCTGTGGGGCCAAAATCAGACTCTGTTCAGGAAGAGGCCAGAGCGGGCATCCTCCAGCCCTCCTGGGACATGTGGGTGGCCGGGCAGGCAGGGCCTGCACCTCGTGGCCTTGGGTGGTGGGAACCTCAGTGAAGGGACAGACACCCCTCCACCAGGGTGATGCTGGAGCGCCAGGGCGGGGAAAGAACTTAAAGAAAGACCCAGGAGCTCAGGACCCCATGGGGGTATCAGGGCAGCAGCCAGGGCAGAGGCTGTGAGAGGACACAGGTCAGGGGTCAGAAGGTTCCCACGGGTGGAGATCTGCCCTGAAATGGGAGGCAGGGGTTCAGGAAGTCGTGGACCCTGCCAGGCTCCATGGCCTGGGGACACGGGCATTTAATCACACAGGGCCGCCAGCATGGCTCCAGCCCCAAGGCCAGGCCCGGGGCATCTGCATGGCAGCAGCATCTGAGGCTGCTCGCCTTGCAAAGGGCGTTCGAGGATGGTGTCTGGGCAGGTGGGCCCGCACTGGCCGCCACCCACACTGGCCGCCACCCACACTTGCCTGTCCTGAGTGACCCCAGGAGTGGCACGTAGGTGACGCGGTGTTGAGTCAGCTTGAGCAGGAAGGCTTGGTGGCACAGCCACTGCACGGCCTCAGAAGGCAGAGGGCCGGCGGCGCCCTTGGCCCCCAGCGACATCCCTGGGGGACAAACAGAGGCTGAGGAGTCCACAGGCCCAGCCCAGCTCCCCTCCCGGGAGACACCGGAGAGCTGCGCACACCCGACGGTCTGCGGGGCGGCTCCATCTCCAGCTGCCCTGACCCAAGCACCGCAGGAGTCACTACTGAAGTGTTTCCTTCAGCTTCTCCAAGTGAAATTTCCACAACACAGAAATAACAGAAAGTAGAAGCTCTTAAGCTCAGGACAGCAGGTTCGACGTGGCTTGAATTTCAGACGGATCAGAAACCTCCCTGAGGCTGGACAAAGTGTCCAGAGGCAGAGGACGGTGACCGGGGAGCAGAGGACAGCCCGGGGCTCTGCGGTGGGGACGGACGGCCTCTGCTCCTGAGAGGGATAGGGTAGCCTGGGCCCAACCTCCTCCTAAGCCCTTGGCCTAGGTTTGCACAGGGGCCCTAAGTGCCATGGACAGGAGACAGCCCAATCCCACCACCGGGCAAACGGGAGAGGCCAGGCCCCCCGAATCCCACCATGGGGCAAGCAGGAGAGACCAGCCCTCCCGGCACTTCCCCAGGCAGAGCAAGGTGGGAAGGACGGCAGTTCCCAGGCAGCTCCTGTCCCTTCCATCGGGTGCTCTGCTCACCCCACGAGAGGGCGGGCAGACGGGCCTGCCGGTGGTCGGGTTAAACTACTTCCCGATGTGAAAAGGGGTGAGAATGTCCTAAGCCCGGATTCACTCAGTCTCCTGACACACTAACACCAGCAGGCAGGCACTGCTGCCACTGAGGCCAGGCACCTGTGCGTACCTGCGTTCTTGGCTTTCAGGATGGAGTAGCAGAGGGAGGCCGTGTCAGAGATGACACGCAGGAAAAACGCGGGGTTCTTCCAGACTTGCTGATGAAATGGGAGCTGCAGCACACATGCGTGGAACCTGAGGGGATGGCGGACATCGTCAGAGCAACGGCCTCCTAATTAGACGGTGCTCACGTGTGTGGGCACGGGCCCGCCGGTGCGTGTGTGCAGGCATGAAGGCATGTGCATGGGTTTCCTCGTGGGCACAGGTGCACACACACGGATGCATGCGTGCATGTCTGTGTGTGTGTGCTTGTGTGTGCAAGTACCTGCGTGTCTGTGTGCGTGCACAGGTACTCTGTGCGTTTCTGTGCACCGTCTGCATGAACGCACACACATGTGGAGGCTGGAGCAGCTCCATCCTGGATGCTAACCTGCCATGCTGGCTTCTGATTAGCTCCTGCTCTGGGAAGGCCTCTAAGGTTTCCAGCTTATCCATTGCTCCTTGTGAACCAGAAGGTACTTACCGTAAATCCCGCCCTTTGTCAAACAACCTTCATGTCATCGTGTATCAACATCCTGCGCATCCCTTCTGAGCCACCCCACCCCTGTGGTGCGTAAACCCTGTGTCTGAGGCGATGGTGCGAGGACCCATCATCTCATCTCACTGCCACCGAGACACCGACTTGGCTTCTGTGTGTAGGTTAAGTCCCTACTAAATGTTTCTTTCCAAGAAACTGCATTTGTCAGTCTTTTCTGTGGCTGAGATGGGGTCTCGCTCTGTCACCCAGGCTGTCAGCTCACTGCAACCTCCCTCCTGGCCTCCAAGCATCTCCCACTTCCAGCCAAACTCCCGGGCTCAAGCGATCCTCTCACCTCGGCCTCCCAAAGTGCTGGGACTACAGGTGTGAGCCACCGCGCCAGCCCTGTCAGCCTCCTTCTTTGGCTTCTCAGCTTCCTGGGACTTTGGGGCAGGTGTGCATGGACCTGGCCACCATGAAACAGCACATGTGCACATGTGCCCACGTGTGTGTGATCAGGACACCTGTGTACCTGGTCTCACCGACTGCCGGAGCCCCTTCTGGAATGACCTGAGATCCCACCAGTTAGGCCAGCACTCGGGTTTCAGCCTCTGAGTAACTCTGCTGAGGTGGGATGTCTTCTCCCCACTTAGCAACGAGGGAAGCCAGGCCCAGAATGTTTTTTAAACAAACAAATATGCCTAAGGTACTGGGGTTGCCACAGGGTCACACTCCTGACCCAGGAGGGAAATACCTAGCATGGGTGAAGGGCTCTCTTCCAAAGGGAGAAAAAGCCACCTGCTAGAGGTCAGGGCATCCGCCCCCCGCCCGTATGGAGGCGTGGCCAGCAGGGGCTGGGAAGGCTGAGCCCCAGTGGATTGGAGTCAGGTCCCACCCCCAGTGCCACACAGACCACCACAGCCTCACCTGCTACAGCCTGGCTGCTGTGAAATCGGGGCCCAGCTTTCCGTTCTCCCACTCCTGCCTCGAGGGAAGGGGGTTCCTGGGCCTTCCAGGTGCCTGGCTCCGTGTCTGGAAATGGCCCGTGGCTCATCGCACCTCTGCCTCCTCAGGGCTACCCAATCAAGCGACTACCCAAGCGCCCCCACGTGGGTGGGAAAACTCAGCCACCTTGCCCGAACCCAGGCCCTCTACGGGAGCTCCTCGGAGCCAGAGACCCTGGTGGGGAAATGACGACAAGGCTGAGCTGAATACGGGAGGAGCAGGTGGCAGGTTACACGGCCCATGCCTGGGAAAACTCTTCTGACCTCATCATGGCCCAAGGAGGCCCCAAGCACGCCAGCTGGACCCTGGGGTCGACCACGGTGTCAGACACCTCCCGTCCTCAGCGGCGCCTGTCTCCAGCGCACTCCACGGGTTTCCAGAAGGAGTCAAGCGGCTTGCATGAGGGCCCAGGCACACGTCAGGGAGACGCAAACGAGGGAAGACTCGAGGCAGAGGGAGAAGACAGAGGAGGGCGGCCTGAGCCGGACGCACCCTGGAGCAGAGAGCCTGGTCCCGAGTCTCTGGAGCCAGCGCAAAGGCGGTAACACGCAGCTGCGGCTCTGCCCTCCCTGCCAGGGCACGAAGGCACAAGCACTCGGGTTAAAAACCACCTTCGTGGGGTGACCTTGTAACGGAAAATCTCTCCCGTGAGCCCTTGCTGGGTTCCCACGATAGACGACCTCGTTTCACATCAAGTGTGCACGGCCTCAGCCCTGGCCCTGGCCCTGGGTAACACAAATTCTCACACTCATTCTCAGCCCTCATGGGGCGAGGGCTTCGGACTCCTGGCACTCGGCTCCCAGTGGCTCGGGAGGCCTGTTCAGGTGGAGGCCCGGGCCTGTGGTGCCCGACTACCCTTTGGTACAGCCCAGAGGTTTGTGCCACCACCTGCCCTGACGCCAGGCAGAAGCTGGCCTTGTGGCCTCCACAGATTGGCCCTTTCTTCTGTGATAAAGTTGTTGATTCTTGACGGGGGGCCCCCTGACCAGCCATGATAGGCAATGTTCCAGGAGCACAGCCATGCCCAGAGCACAGGTGCCGGCCGGGCTGTGTGGG